GTGAAGTAGACTTTGTTAAATGGTAGAGAAAATTCTTCAAGCAGATATATAACTGTGAATTGTTACTACAAAGTTCTATTTGCTGTAAAAAGAGAAAAGAAATTGCTGACGACTTGTATAAACCTTAATTTGAATAAAACATTTTTATCTTTGCATTATTTCCACCAAAACAGATACCGGTAAACCACGCCACTGTCAATTTGCACTATTATTAGATCAATGTTTGGAAAAATTTTCATGTCTTACTTATTCTTTCTTTTATGACGAGCAACATTACTTCACTCTCGTCTTTACCTACAACATTCTCAACATTCTAGTGTAGCAATTTGTATAATGGCTCTTTCTTTTTCAAACACTGGTAACTGCACCATTATCAGCTTAACAAATTAAATTTGTTTCTGAAACCTATTACAATACTCTGTCTTATAACTTCTCTGGCAGTAATAATTCGTCTCAATGTTTTTGCGGTCTTTGAACTTATAGCTTTTTCTTAAACAACAGATACAAATAGCCAATTTGTAGGCAATTCTGACATACAGTAAAGTCACCGTTGAAGTTGTTAACAGCGTAAAATACATAAGGTTGCAGACGCAATTACTTGATAGACTGATTTTCTTCTCAGTAGCCTCATTCCAACTTCTGTGGAACACATTTTTTCTTCTGTTTTCTGGAAGATTTTTTACAGCAGCATACTCTTTCCAGTCTCTATTACCTGATATATCAACTATTTGCCTTTATTCTGTGTACCTTTCTTCTCCAATCTAGCTTTTGGTATTTCCGGCACAAATAATCTTCGGAAAATTTTTGTGCAATATTTTCGTGACGGCAGTTTTGTCAGTAACACCCTTAAGTCCCTTCAATTTCTGTAAAACTTAGTCTATCTCTTCCACTGCTGCTCTCAGGTTTCTTACATTTTCTCAATTACTTGGAATTGAGCCTATGATGAATCAACTGCTACCATAACTTAACATTGCGAAACCGTCTTGTCAAAATATTAATTGCTTTCTGATATATTCTGTAACTTCAAAAAAGATATTCAATTTTTAGCCTAGCCCTTCATTTTAAAAGTAAAACTTAATATTGAAACCTATCTTATGTAAGAATACTATTATTAGTATGAATTGCAGAATTATAGTAGCCTAAAAATATAGCCCATTTCATCAAGTTCCGAACAAATATGAACGGTTCAATTTTTGGTAATTTAAGCCTTATTGGAAGTGTTTTTTTGTGTCTGTACTTTATAGCTCATTTCCTTCCTCATATAATTCTGCTTTTATTGTATTTTGTGCACAAGTTTTTGGCTCTTCTACCTTTCCATGCTGAATAGTTTAATTTTTTTTGAGAATTTTAAATATTCTTAGTTTTCTTCTATCAATTGATCTTTTTTCAAAGATCTAAATTGCTGCTTTTACGAGCTCCGTCGTCTTTTTTTGAAGCTTTATTCCTGCTTTCTCTCTGAATAGGTTCTTGGGATCTTTTTGGCTTTACAGAAGACTTACAACATTCTTTTTCCAGTTGAATACTTGTTCTTAAATCGCTAGTTCGGTCGGTTGGACTAAGAAAGAAACAAGTCATGACCGTTTTACAGCCCTCTTAATTGAGAGGCATTTATTGCAGTACTCTTCTACTAACTCTGAAGGGTTCTAGTTATACACTTTACTACTGAAAGCAATCGTTATCCGCCAAAGCTCACAAGACCAATTTTTTAGAGACTGATTGAGAAGACCGATACTGTTAACGACGGACCGGCTTAGCAACCAAACACTTCAAATCTTACGTTGAGACACTTGTTTAAGTTACATAACTAGCAGAATATTTGAAAAATGATAGAAGAAATTATCTGAAAAGTTCATTGCCGTAGCAAACACAACTGTGACAAACAGTAAGATTTGATAATGACTTCAATAACACAATTGGTAGAGAGAGTTATATAAACAAAAAACTAAACAATATGTTTTAAAAAACTGAGACTTTAATACAATAAAGTAATATCTTGAAAGTTATTAAATAAAATTCCTTATAAGCAGCTTCGCGTCACGACTTATGAAGAATACAATAAAGAGTAGGATGAAATATAAAAATAACTGAAAGATGAAATTTGAAAAGGGACAACCGACTTCAAAAAAGAAATTTTTGCGGCAAGCTTATCGTAGACAATCCCGTTTGTCCTCTCTTGCCTGTTGCTTACATAAAAATACTGGTGGCGATGACTAAGGCTTCCTCCTTAGAGGTGACTGATGGTCACGTCCGTATTGCACATGGTGGCATTCCGCGTGCTATCGCGACAATGGTCAAAGGTGACATTTGTGGGCAGATAGGACGTAAAGTTTAGAGAAACAATTTTTGCCTCATAAAGTGTAGAAATCACTGCAGTTTTTTTCTACTCTCGACGAAGACAACATTATACATCAATAAAAAGCTGTGTCTTACCTACTTTGATCATGGAATCAAAATTATTCATTAATTCAAAAAAACCTTAACTACAAAAATATGCGCATGAAAAGTGCTCAAAAGTATGCGCAGAAAAAGGGGGATTTTAAAGTGTAATGAACTGCAGAAGTTTTCAAAAGCAGCACTTATACTGCGTTGAAAGGTGGCTTGAAAACAGTGTTGCTAATGCAACATCAATTCCCAATGCTGTAATACAAAAGAATTTCTAAATTTGAATGTTAATATTATCATTAATTCTTAAGAAAGATGTCATTAGCAAAAATCATTAGCGAGCCACGGCCGGTATTGTTTTAGCTTAAGTTTTAGCTTAATTTATAAGTGATTGTAGTCGAAAGAAGAAGGTAGCTGAAGAAGAAAAAAAAAGTAAATTTCGTTTTTGAAACAGTAGTTTTAGAACAAAAAAGAGCGATAAGTAAAAATATTATTAAGTACCGCTTGTAAGGAAAACTATTGATTTTCAATAGTAATAAATAAATACGCAAAACAACTACAGACGATTGTAGCATCAAATTTCAAAATTTTTCTTCTACTGACTGCTTTTACTG